ACAGGCCTCTCTCATCTTTTTAAGTGGGAGAACTTGCACAATTGGTGGCTGACTAAATACTTTTTTGCCCCACTGTAAGCTCATGTAAACACAAGCTTATTTGAATTTTGCCCAAGAAAAGTTTAAGCAAAACCAATTAAAAACTCTTTATTTTTTTGCACATCAATCCCTGAGGGGATAAAGTGATGGGGGGAAAAAATGTGAGATGGGAGGAAAAATAATATTTGAATGCTTTTACGACACCCCACCACCCCATGCTGTAATATTTTGCAGCATCAGGTTTACCAAGTTAACTGGTAACACTTTACAATAAGTTTCAATTTGTCAACATCAGTTAAACATGCATTTATTAATCATAGTTAATATTAATTTCAGCATTTTCTAATACATCATTAAAATGTATAGCTGGTAATATTATTTAATGGACATGACCTGACATGGATTAACAATAAACAGTTGCATTTATATTAATTAATGTTAACAAATTAATGTTAAATACTGTAACAACTGAATTGTTTTTTGATAGTTAATCAGTTAACTAACGGTAACTAATGGAACTTTATTTTAAAGCGTTACCAGTTAAATTTATAGATCTTAGCAAATTAAATTTGTAAAATAGATATTTTGCTCTTAGGAAAATAAGAACATAGCATTAAAAATAAATTGTTACATTTTATAATTAAACATACTACTACTACTAATAATAAACCATTTGCTAAATAACAGTTTATTAGTGTAGGAACTTAAATAATGTGACTTAAATAATTTAAATAGTGTGCATATATCAGCCATTTTACAGAAACTTTGAAGGCGGCTCATCCAATCAGAATTTAGAGTCAGAAAATATCTGTTATATGGCTTTTCTTAAAGGAATAGTTCACCCAAACTCACACTCATGTCGTTCCAAACCTGTGTAAGTTTCTTTCTGATGTTAAACACAAAAGACGATATTTTGAAGAATTATCTATATATATTAAAAAAATTAATTGGTCCCCATTGACTTCCATGGTAGGGAAAGAAATACTATAAAAGTCGATGGGGACCATCAACTGTTTGATTACCAGCATTCCTCAAAATATATTATTTTATGTTCAACATAAGAAAGAAACTCCTACAGGTTTGGAGTGTCATCAGGGAGAGTAAATGACGACAACATTTTAATTTCTGGTGAACTATTCCTTTAAACAGTCCATTTTTGATACTCATCAGCCTTTGACATACCATATCAAAGCAGACACTGTTCAGATTACACATCCCGGTGTTAGTTTTTAGAGTTGGCAGACAACAGAAAATGTGTTTAGGATGTTTTATTAAGCTGAAATTAAAGCAGTAAACTAACATTGCTTGTGAGTGTCAGTCTGAACCTAATATCCATCTTCTGTATTAAAGACGTTAAAATAAATGGCATTAACAACAACACAGGTTATGTAGGGTTAGAGGGAAAGAAAAAACAGACCAGCAAACAATTGTTATTCCATAAACCCCCCCAGCAGACATCTGTCTGCAGTGTCCCACAGGTGAGCAGGCAGGTGTCAAGTGATGCATTCATTATGTGATCGGGAAGATGGAAGCAAGACAGCGTGACCATGACAGCATTAACATGAAAAGGGTGAAAACATGGCAGCCGAAGCAAGTGATAAACAGCAAAACATAAACATCTTGCAATGGCCAGAAGGAGCATGTCAGAATGAAGCTGAAGTACCAAACCCCTTGAGGAAAATATAAACGGAAAGTAGAATGGTAAGAAAAACAGCAATTAAAAAAAGGACAGGAGCGGCAGCAGTTTGCAGGCCAGCGGAGGGCAGGTTTGGTCGAGCTGGTTGGCGGTGCTTAACTACCTGTCCTGGACTGTCTCTTTGCCCTCTTAACGGAGCTGGGCTGGCCATTGGTGCTTAACTCCCCTGGACTGTCTCTTTGCCCTCTTAACGGAGCTGGGCTGGCTTTTGGTGGGCCTGCTGGAGCCACTCTGGGAGAAGGGGGCGGTCAAGAAGCGAACTCCCAGTCCTGCAGCTGACATCAAAATGGAAGCCATGCCTGGAACGGCCGGAGGCCATGTGGAGACATGCAGGAGAAAGGGAGGAGGAGGAGGAGGAGGAGTGAAGGAAAGGAAGAGTAATGAGCCAAGAGTGGAGAAGCCAACCACAAGTGAGGCATGCTCTGATGAGGTCAAGAAAAGTTTAGGGTCCTACTTACTGCAGAGGAAACAATATCAGTCCAACTATAGATGCTGTCTACAATCCCACCTGCTCTTGATATGTATCTAGGACTAAATACGCTAAATGCAGTACACAGAATCCAATGCGCTTCAGAGACCAACTGTGATTCGATCATTCAAACCACCTTCAGAGGAAACACGGGTCTCTTTTGGCTATCTGACTATTTGCATAAAGTCTGGTCCACGTTGACAGGAAGAGACCATTTGATTGACATGTAAAGTTACCAACCACAAATCAAGCTGCTTTTAAGTGACATTTAGGAAATTTGAAATCCATTGCACCATAATAACAGACCAGCATGAAAAATGTATGCTTCCTGATGCATCACAAACAACATTAAAACAGCACGGGGTTTTAAACTTGTGTCTTTAAATGCACCAACACATTTGGAAAAACCTGAACATAACCATTACATATTTAAGAGAGCAAGACTTCTGAAGTTGAACTATTTTGTCTTGAGACCCATGTTGTGAAAAGCATCTGGTTGGGGTCAGATGGACCCAAATTAGTGTAATTATGCAGTACATTAAAGGGGGTCCTATTATGCTCTTTTACAAAGTCTTGATTTTGTTTTGGGGGTGTACTAGAACATGCTCTCATGCTTGGTGGTTCGAAAAACGCATTATTTTTCACATAATTTACATTATTACCATACCTTTCTCCCCAGCCTGGCACAAACGGCTCGATTAGTTAGGGGTTTGATGAAGGCCCGCCTTCCGAAAAACGAAATGTGTTGTGATTGGTTAGCTGTCCCAGTGCGTTGTGATTGGCGAACAGCTTAGACGGTGTTTCAGTACTGCCCCGCCCCTTGCCAAAGCAGCAAGTTCCGTCTGCTCCGGTATAGTTAAGGATGGCGTCGATATTGCCATGTCAATTTGAGTCGGATTCAGACCCCGAAAATATTGAACAAGATAATCGCGCAGAACCTTTGCACGGATATTGCAAGACATATTAGAGTGGTATATATACATATTATTATGGTGGTAACGTTATTGTTGTTTTGTTTTTGTTTTTTTGCTAAATTAACGTTTTAGTTTTTTCATCGCGTACCTTGTCAGTGTCGTGCGCTTTGCTTGGCCATTTGTTGTGATAAACAGGAAAGTGTGTCCAGCTGAATTCAATTTGAGCAGACTTGAACTCTATTTGTGGCGGCATATATATGCAAATTCATTCTCTGCCAGCAGAAGGTGCTGTTGGAGTGGTAGAGATCTAGGTTTCCTTGGTAACCGCTGTACACAAAAGCAGCTCTCCTCTCACAAACACTGCTTTATCAGACATTACATGCAAGAAGAAATGAAAATGACATCCAAAATTCTCTGAAAACAGTTGGTTTCCTTCAGAAATACAGTGATATAAAAACACCCGCACCGGGTTTCGATTTTCACTGTAGTCTCATAATTGAAGTGTAAATTCTGCAGATTACATCATTGTCCAGTACTGTACTGTCAGCAATTTATTATAAAAACGTTTTCAAAGATCTTATGGGCTTGAAACATCTTGAGGGTGAGTAAATGATCATAATTTTAATTTTGGGGTTAACTATTTATTTAACATTCAATATTCAAACTAACACTTACACCAATGTTGTAACTCTCACAAAATCCAGATCACCCATCTAAACATTTGTGTTTGGATCATCCGAGTCTGACATTAATCCTAGTCCTAAACGATTTCTTCATTGTTTGCACACTACATAGTTTAGTGTTCCAACTATTTGCACTCCTCGCACACACACCATTGTCCATGCAGAAGCCAGCACATACACAAAAATCACGCAAAAATGTCAGTGGATTGTGCTGCGGATGAAAACTATAATCACACAAAATGTCCACAAAATGGAGTGGTCAACAGTTAATCATGAGTGATAAGAAATCCTACAGTTAATCTAATGTTTGCACCGATCACGCCACCTTCAGTCTAGTGAAAATTACATTGGAAATGTCACTTTGTCCCAGATCTGTCTTTCTGTTCCCCGAACGCCTCATGCATCTTAGTGCAGCTGCTGTCAGCTACAAGAGCAACAGATATCCAACATCCCCAGACACGCACCATTAGCTTGAAATTCGTAAAAAGGCAAACTCTTTCAAAGCACACCAACTCAAACCCCACAAACTGGTGAGTCAATGAAGCCACTAATGTCATAAACTGATATGTGACAAGCAGCTGATGTAAGACAAAAACATCAAGGTGGAACCAATATACCGCAAGTCTGAGGCATGAATAGACTTGTGACATATTCACTGAAGAATGCCAAAACTAACTTCACTGACTATCACTGCTCTGGGAAACGTTTGTGTGGTTCATACTGACACTCCCAAGAAACAGTTCAGCTGCTACTGCAGCATCAAACACTGTCTGGGATGAGGAGAAGGAGAGCCCAGTGCATCACTGTAAGGATTTTTTCTGCTGTGGCATGTGTGACGGGTGAGTGCTGTACCTGCCAGTGCAGAGTTCACATTACTGGATCCGCTCATGTGTAGAGGGATGGTTGGGATGCTGTGGAGACAGAAACATAGATACTTTAATGCACATAGACATTAATGCATGAGAACAAAAGCTTTTCACAATGACCTACACTCCCATTACGGAAGCTGTGTCATGTTCTTTTTATGATACAAAAGAAAGAGGGAATTGAGTTAGCTGAGATTCCTGTTGACGACCTATTAAAGATAAAATGAAAGCAAGATACGATCCAAGGAAATTCCCCAGCCTTCTCAAGCTGTCATGGTGTAATTCATGCTATGCCATCTGATATGTCTTTTAAACATACACTACCTTTTCAAAGGTTTAGGGTCAGTAAGATTTTTTAGAAGCAATGAATGTTTTTATTCAGCAAGGATGCATTATATTGATCAAAAGTGACAGTAAAGACATCATATTTCAAAAAGTTTCTATTCCAAATAAATACAATCTTATCGTATCTTAAAAAATGCATCCGTTTCCACAAAAACATTAAGCAGCACAACTGTTTTCAACATTTTAAATAATAAGTAATATTTCTTAAACACCAAGAAATCAGCATATTAGAATGATTTCTGATGGATGATGTGACACTGAAGACTGGAGTAATGGCTGCTAAAAATGTAGCTTTGCCATCACAAAAATAAATAAATAATAATAATCACATTTTAAAATATATTAAAATAGAAACCACCGTAATAATATTTTACAATATTACTCTCTAACTATATTTATGTAGATAAAGCAAATACAGCCTTGGTGTTCATAAAATAATTCTTTAAAAATATATATTTTTTAAAAATGTTACAGACCCTAAACTTTTGAACGGAGTGTACAGTATCTCACAGAAGTGAGTACACCCCTCACATTTTTGTAAATATTTTATTATATCTTTTCAAGTGACAACACTGAAGAAATGACACTTTGCTACAATGTAAAGTAGTGAGTGTACAGCTTGTATAACAGTGTAAATTTGCTGTCCCCTCAAAATAACTCAACACACAGCCATTAATGTCTAAACCACTGGCCACAAAAGTGAGTACACCCCAAAGTGAAAATGTCCAAATTGGGCCCAATTAGCCATTTTCTCTCCCCAGTGTCATGTGACTCATTAGTGTTACAAGGTCTCAGGCGTGAATGGGGAGCAGTTGTGTTAACAAAAATGTGAGGGGTGTACTCACTTTTGTGAGATACTGTATATGCACATACTCTGAGTGCATAAAAAGGAATGAAATTGAATTCAATAAATAAATAAATGAATACATATAGTTTCACTGGTTGATATGACAGTAGTTTACAAAGATTCAGCATCATACAATGTTTTCATCAACAATTCTGGGTTCACCAATGCCATTTTTCATAACGGTAGGTGTTCAAGTCATGTGAACTCGACCACTCATATGGAGAATAAAGCTTAAACAAATCAGAAATCACTTTAATAAGGAGAATGATGTGAATTTATCTTAACGCAAATGTCACATTTTCTACTTTTCAGATAACAAGACTTTTTTTTAAGTGTCAAGAGAATATGAAACCCAACATATAAGTACTTTTAAAATATCAATTTGATGCATACCCTGAAAGAACAACATTCCAGTAAATATGTGTACTACAGCAAAATAACAAAAATGTAAAGTAAATCCCACTGATTTATGCAAATTTAAAACATGAGTGTCTAAACTTCATTTAAGATGTTTCTGCTACTATTTTAATCTTCTGTTTTCCTAACGATTCTACTTTGGTTCATCTATGTAATGACACTCCCACAGTGATCTGAGAACCTCATGACACTTGGGTGTGATGAGGCTAAATGCCAGAAAATTTCCATCATTCCACACTGTGTAACAAAACTGAAACCCTAAATATGAGCATATCTAAACTTCAGCAAAGCAACACTAATAAGTTATGTACGCTCTGTCCAGATGCTGTCTTTTATTGCTCGTGTTTTACTATTAAGCTAGTGGTTTTGGTTTTGACTTCAGCTGAGACTGTTCATTTCAGAGTAATCATAGTCTCAGCCTCAGATGTCACGCCCACGGACATTTGATGCATATGGCACACAAAGGTATAAACACTTCAGGAGTTTAGAAATCGTCATCGGATTGGTTGAATTATACAGGACTTCCGGGAGACGAATGTCGGATTCTTTAACGTTCCGCCTGGAAACAAAGATACTGTGACGCCAAACCCCCTTATGAAAGAAGAAAGCCGTCGTGTTTACAACTGTGATGACGAGCGCTTATCAGGATCAACTAAACGCTGCATATTCAAAAGTATGTGAAATATTTAAAGTTCGCCGCATAGAATCTTTAAAATAGACTGAACAAAATTATAAACGCAACACTTTTGTTTTTGGTTTTCGGACCCCCCCGGACCCCCCAATACAGTAAAACTGCACATTTTAGAGTGGCTTTTTATTGTGGCCAGACTCCAGACCTTCAGCTGTCAGTCTGAAGGTCTGGCTACGCGAGACTAGAGTAATCATGACAGATCATAACTTAAGGTGCACTTTGTCCACTTGTTAATGAATCTAAGGTCTCACAAGCTCATATATGGATGTTTGTGTAAGTTGACTGTGTGAATGAGGAGTGAGATAGGCATGCGTAAAAACAGACATTTCCTGGTTCCTTTCAACCTAACTTTCCAGAAAAGAACAATAACTAAAATCTGGGTCTTCCCCTTTCAGTCAGCACAGTAAGTGCAGACTTGCTCTCCTCCACATGCCCTAAAGACCCACACAGAGGGCAGGATATGACACCATTACAAAGAGGAACAGCCAATTATAGTATCAGGACAAAAGGAAGAACGATCATTAAAATCAGTCCAGACTGAGAAAAGAAATTATCATGCTGTCATACTGGTTTTCCGGTTTACTTTTTTGCACATTTTCACGTGTATTAGTTCCATTGCAAATTTCTTAGGCAACCACAATTCTGGTTGCGCTTTATTTTTACGATAAGTGCATGAACAACATACTTACGGTGTACTTACCCAAGAAAGTACTGAGTAATATAATGTAAATGCATGGACTTAGAGGAACAGTTCACCCAAAAATAAAAATTCTGTTATCAGTTAAGGTGAGGTCACATTTACCGTTGCTCAGCAAAATTTTGTGGGCAAAATCCAGTCATTCTAATAGAAATGTGCACGATCTGGAGATTCGCATGAGGGCAAAAGATTTCCCCAAACAGATTCCCACTCAGGTTCATGTTTCATTTTTCACAAATTAACTGTGCTGACTGACAGAAAGCTGCTTTGTTTGAAAGAGACTTCTGTGTGAGCTGTACTTGATACATCGCTACACTATTGACAATAGACAATAGCCCTTTTTTGCTGTGAAATTCTGCTGAAACTTTGCTAATGTGACTGTACCTTAACTTTCTTTTTTTTCCTCTGCAGAATACATAAAATTTTGAAGAATGTTGGTAACCACCAAATAGTTCTGCTTACCATTGACTTCCACTGTATAGACAAAAACAAAGACTTTTTGAAGAAAGCCATACTGGTATGGAACAACATGAGGGAGTAGGGGTGTGCCATATTATACCGTCCACGATAATAACGGTATAAATTTTTACATGATAAAAAAAGTGTCATATCACGATATCAATGACATAGTGACGCAATGACGTTTGGCGGATATACGTTCCGTAGCACGCACAACAACACCACAAATCCAATAGGTGTTCGACTTGAAGCAGTGCTGCGCAGACTGATCAGTGTATGACATCAAAGTATTGCGAGAGTCCTGGTTCCTTTCAACCTAACTTTCCAGAAAAGAACAATAACTAAAATCTGGGTCTTCCCCTTTCAGTCAGCACAGTAAGTGCAGACTTGCTCTCCTCCACATGCCCTAAAGACCCACACAGAGGGCAGGATATGACACCATTACAAAGAGGAACAGCCAATTATAGTATCAGGACAAAAGGAAGAACGATCATTAAAATCAGTCCAGACTGAGAAAAGAAATTATCATGCTGTCATACTGGTTTTCCGGTTTACTTTTTTGCACATTTTCACGTGTATTAGTTCCATTGCAAATTTCTTAGGCAACCACAATTCTGGTTGCGCTTTATTTTTACGATAAGTGCATGAACAACATACTTACGGTGTACTTACCCAAGAAAGTACTGAGTAATATAATGTAAATGCATGGACTTAGAGGAACAGTTCACCCAAAAATAAAAATTCTGTTATCAGTTAAGGTGAGGTCACATTTACCGTTGCTCAGCAAAATTTTGTGGGCAAAATCCAGTCATTCTAATAGAAATGTGCACGATCTGGAGATTCGCATGAGGGCAAAAGATTTCCCCAAACAGATTCCCACTCAGGTTCATGTTTCATTTTTCACAAATTTAACTGTGCTGACTGACAGAAAGCTGCTTTGTTTGAAAGAGACTTCTGTGTGAGCTATACTTGATACATCGCTACACTATTGACAATAGACAATAGCCCTTTTTTGCTGTGAAATTCTGCTGAAACTTTGCTAATGTGACTGTACCTTAACTTTCTTTTTTTTCCTCTGCAGAATACATAACATTTTGAAGAATGTTGGTAACCACCAAATAGTTCTGCTTACCATTGACTTCCACTGTATAGACAAAAACAAAGACTTTTTGAAGAAAGCCATACTGGTATGGAACAACATGAGGGAGTAGGGGTGTGCCATATTATACCGTCCACGATAATAACGGTATAAATTTTTACATGATAAAAAAAGTGTCATATCACGATATCAATGACATAGTGACGCAATGACGTTTGGCGGATATACGTTCCGTAGCACGCACAACAACACCACAAATCCAATAGGTGTTCGACTTGAAGCAGTGCTGCGCAGACTGATCAGTGTATGACATCAAAGTATTGCGAGAGAGGTTCTAGAGCATATTCGAGCGCACACTCTTACCCATCAAAAATAGGCGAGGCGCTTATCTTTAGCGAAGTGGCGTGGAGAGCCGCTTCTGAAACGTGCCGCGGCGCCGCTGGTGTAAACAAAAGCATTTACTAGAGTGGCCGCATCGGAGCCGTAACGC